TTTTTGGCTAAAATCGCCTGGAATCACGTTTTCTGGAATATGGGCAAGGTAGCGGTTTCGCGTGAGACGTCTGTATTTTCACATACTATCGCATTCCTGGCCATTTTGGCCAAAAATGACAAAAAAAAAGAAAAACAAAGCTCAGCAGGGTGAAATGTGATAATTTTCTGGTATATGATGGAAAAAACTGGTGTTGGATCCTGGGGAAGGTCGAAGGGGGCCATGCATACTGTTTTATTTTCGCATTCCAGAAAATTAGCGCACTCCAGGGGTGGCATCGTACTCTATCGGTGGAATTAGTTTGCACGGAAGAAAACAGGATCGTCGATGATTTGTGTTCCGAGATCCTATTGTGCAGGGCTCTTTGCGGGGCCACAAAGATGTCAAGAAAGATGGGGATGGCGCTGCTGGTGAAAGGCCAGCCAAGCGTGCCAGAACATAAGCTTAAAGCTTATGAATTGGGTTTTGAGATCCTGAAAAAGGTGTAGATGAACAAATTCCCATAAAGAACATTAATTAACTCCATTTTTGGAAAGCCAACACTTAATTAATTATGCTACTTCCATAAAATGTTGAAACTGTAAGGTCTTCTTTGGGCCGGAAGAAACATGGGTTGCAGGGGGGTCGACAACCGTACGGTGCGCATAAGAAACAAGGAGTACTTCGGCAAACTGTTTGACATACAAATTTCACTGAAAGGGGTCTTCGCAATTCACCTGGAATTTCCTTCCCCAGCTTCTGTAATTTGTGGCAATGGATATGTATCGTGGAGGGGGGGGGTAGGGGGGAAAGGGGGAAGCCCTAGAAATACAGGGTTGAATACAGAGAAAATTGGCTAGAGGTATGTCGTAGTGTTTCCCCACCAATCCAACGAATCTTCGAGGAGCCCGGGCCCCAGTCTGCCGTGGAGGGACGCCGCGCAATCGGTGCGGTGGGGGGGGCCGCGGCCGCGCCGTAGGCCGCCGCGTCGCTGCGGAGCCGCCAAGCGCCGCAGCGGCGGAGGAAGGTCTGGCGGTGGGATGATCCGGTGGTGCCATGAGGAAACCATGGGAAAACCATGGGAAAATGGTGATTTAACCAGCAAAAATGGTATTTTCTAGGGTTTAACTAATAAAAATGGTGACTTGATGGTGGTTTAACATGTCAAACCATATTGTTTTTAAATATTCGTTGTGAAATCACAAGAAAACTAAGCTAAGCCTTAAGGGGTAAAACATATTCGCAATAGATTCACTGGTGGATGTTTCACTAATAATAACCATTCACAATTAAACAAACAGGAATCATGATGAAATGGGTTTGTCTGAAAATGTGGTACCCTAAGAATTCATGGTTTATTCTCACTTTGCGCATTGGCAATTGTATGAGTATAGATGAGTATAGCCTATTTTCAATCACACCCAAATCAACCCACATGGATGTTTCTTGAAATGAGGGTACCCCCAAATCCATCTTGATAGGATTCTCCATCATAAACAAATCATTTTGGGGATCCCCCATTTATGAAAACAAACCAAATACAGTAGCATTCAACAACCCAAATTTAGCATGTTGTTAAAGTTATAGACTTATATAATATCATACATCCCTATGAGACACACATCCTGTTTAATGTAATATATGTAAATTATATACATCCTCATCTTATGTCGTTATAGAATGGTTTTATTTTATATATGAAATATTTATGTTTATTTCCCCTGTCTATTAATCATGGTCATTATATAACATTATGCTATATCATTAAAATAGCATATATCATATCATAGGTATAATCCCTTTGAAATATTAATATCCCCTTTGAAATAAAGGTATCATAGCATATCATATTATTTATATATATATATATATACAGATATCCCGGATTAAAATCCTCCCACGCCTGCGCTTCCTGCCACTTCTCGCCCACCCCGCAGGCCGCCAGCGCGCTGCCGAAGCACACGGCGTCGGCACTTTGGCGGTCTTCGAGGACCTCAAAAGCTGAGAAAATCATCTGAAAATGGCTGGAAAACATTGGAAAAAGATCCAATTGACGGCTATGTTCATCAATTTTTAATCCGTTTCAATCCATTTCATCTATCCGAAGATTGGAAAACATGAATGGTTGGATTGGGTTGGACTGGTTTACCCATCTGATTGAATAAGAATATAGTATAGATAGATATAGATAGAGCATCTATGAAAATCTCATCTGAAAATGTGGAGCAACTCCAATTTATTGTTATTTTGGGAAGGAGAGCATGATGATCAACCACATCAAGGTAGTTTGGGACAAAACATCATTAGATTGTGGCTTACCCGGAATTTTCATCTGATTCACTACGAGAAATCACCATGTTTTATGGGCAAACATGGGAACACAATGTATAGAGCGGACTTTTATGGGAAACACCCAGTGAGCTTGTGAGTTTGTCACTGGGTTTGTTGAACAAATGACAGTAAAACCATGGATTTTTCTGCCGCAATTCTGAGATGGTAAACCATCCAATTCCACAACTGGGCGCCGGCGCCAGTGTTTCGACATGTTTCGTGTCTTGCATCACCAGTGAAATCTGGTCATATAAAACATATAAAACATATATAAACATAGCTTAAATTCAGCTACCAGGAACCTAAATGGTATACAAGTGTATACAATTGTATCATCTTTTATCCGTTTCATTAACATTGTTTTCTTGGTGAAATCATTTTTTTTGGGCCAAATATCTATCTTGCCTGACACATCAGCAATTTGTTCACAACAACTTCCTGTTTGAGTGTTCCATGCCATGCTGGCTTAAATCCCCAGCATTTTCCCATGTCTTCTGGTTTTCTCCCACCTTTTGTGGCGGCTGCAGAGCCATCACCAAGGAACCGGTAGCAACATCTGCAACGCACTTGCCCAGTAGGACTGACGACGACACGCGTCTGCAGCGCAACTGAGCACCACCACGGAATGGAAGCCTATAGGGACGGCCTCCAAAACGGTAGCTTTCTGTTGGTTTATAACTTGGTTAACTGGGGGTTACAAATACGTGTACAAATAGATAGATAGATAGATAGATAGATAGATAGATAGATAGATAGATAGATAGATATATAGATAGATAGAATGACATGGGTTTATGAACAAACGATAACAAACGTAGAACTGGGTGTCCCTTACTCTATGTGCCAATGGGGGCAAATTCACCATGAATTTCTGGTGGATTTTCCACAGCGCCTTGAAATCTGTGCCATTGCTCCAGACGCAAAGATTCTTCCCATTGCGTCGCCTGTCTCAGCTGTTTACCCCAGTGGGTTACGGAAAGCCCATAAACAACAAGTTTCTGGTTGATGGTATACCTAACTTGGGATGATTATTCACAATATATGGAAAAAAATGTTCCAAGCCACCAACTAGGTTTGTAATTGTCCCCTTATAACTACAGGAACAAATACATACAATCTACAGTATACACTCGCACAAAATTGACCCGGGTGCAAATGAACCCTTTAAGTATATAACCACGTACCAAATGCCATTGATTTTCTTTCTTGCCTCGTAATTTCCCACAATATCCTACTTAGTGGCTCATCCCACGGATCGTAAGTAGCTTTAAACCCTAGTTACAATATGTTACAACTAGATTAAGCCTACTGATCCACCGACAAAACCAGGGATATATATATATATATATATGTATGTCATGTATTATATGTATAATGTATTATATGTATACATATCATGTATTATATATATATATATCATGTATTAAATATATATATATATATCATGTATTATATTTATATATATCATGTATTATATATATCATGTATTATATAGATATTATATTATTTTATATTGCATTATATTATATTATACTATATTATATTATCCTATTATATGATATTAAATTATATTATATGATATTATATTATATTATATTATTTTATTTTATATTATATTATATTATAGTATAGTATAGTATATTATACTATTATATTATATTATATTATATTATATTATACTATTATATTATATTATGTTTTATATTATATATTATATTATATTATATTATATTATATTATATTATACTATTATATTATATTAAATATATATATATATGGATACAGTATATATATATATAACATTATATAAGCTACTTATGATTCTCATCATCGCTGGAACCAGTAGGTGCACCTTCGACATCGAGTCGGCACTTTGTCCGAGCACCACCTCATTGGTCGTCGCAAAGATGAGCCAATCCTGTGGCGTCGTTATAGAAATGTTGATCGGATTAGTGATTCATCAGGAATTCTTGGGAATATAACTGGTTGGTGGTATACCTACCCCTCGGAAAAATGATGGACTTCGTCAGTTGGGATGATGACATTCAAAATTCCCAATATACGGAAAAATAAAATTCATGTTCCAAGCCACCAACCAGATAATGTTATAATGTTTATGTAATGTTTAAAAACACATTATATATAGAATAAAGCAATATATGATGTGTATGTGTATTGTTTTTGAACAATAATGGAATGTATGTTGTATCTTTATTCACCAACTGTTATAATGGAAAATTATGGGAATATAGTCGGAAAATAGTGGACAATAATGGGCTGTATAATAATATATAGTAATCGTGGGAATAAGTCACACATGTTATTCATTGTTGTTTTGTTATGATATATTCTCATTGAATAATGGAAATATCAGGGGAATCATATGGAAGGGGAAAATGATGGGAGATACAAGCCAACTCAACCAACAATACTCATGTTGCGGTGATCATCCCTGTGTTACAAGAGATTTCCTGGACAGGATCTGATAGCCATGCCATGCCCACGTTGGTTGCATTTGATCCTGATCTTCGCTGTCTGCTGCATGGTTTCAACCGCACATTGTTGCTAAAGCTTCCATGTTCCCTAGAATTGGGTTGATTACCTTCTTACGTTGTTGATTCACTTTCCGAATTTGTTGATCAAATCACCATGTTGGATAGTTCTTCTGGTTGTTGTTGTTGTTGTTGTTGCTGTTTGACTTCTCACATTGTTCATCACTGTTATACTGTTGTTCAAATCGATTTTGAAAAAAAAGCATCACGACATTTTTTTTGATACTACAGTTTATTGTCTGCTTATGAAGTACGTTGCTGTTGTTTATTACATGTTTCGTTCATTCACTTCTGGATTTGGGCAAATTGCCATCCAGTAAACTCACGTAACTGTGGAACATCACCATTCTTAGAAACGGTAGACCATCGAACATGGAAAATCACAATTTTTCATCGGTAAAACATTGAACTAGATGGCCATAAATCACAACTCTTGATAGGCAAATAGCCGTTGTCCATGGCCATGTGGAGGTTTCCTTCAATGGAAGTACTCCCTAAATCATCCATTTCAATAGGATTTTCCATTATAAACCACCATTTTAGTAGAATGTTCCATCATAAACCTCCGTTTTCATGATTTTCCATGATTTTGCATATAAACTATCGGGGTAACATCCATTTGAAGAAGCCCTCATTTCGTCCACCCAGCCGAGTGTCCAAGGAGTTTTGCCAGAAAGGCAGGGCGCTGGAGACGGCTCCAATGGAGACCTCGTCACGTCAACATGCTGGTGCTGAAACAAAAAACGCATCCCAAATAATGAAAGGGAAAGAGATACCTGGAGAAATTCAGTTTAATTCATATTATAAATTCATACTATTAGTTCACATGCATTCATATTATATAAAACACATTATATAACTTCTCCCTACATAATTACTACTAAATACCCGCCTAGAGATCCCTATAGAGACCATTGTTTAGTATTGGATCGATGTATTTTGGTGCTCCAGGTGGTTTGGTAAATGTTGCGGAAGGGGTTCATGAGGCAAACCCAAGAGTAAACTGTACACTTACTTTGGGGGCTATTTGAAAGAGTCCCCCAAAAAGGAGTTTATTATTGCCAATAGTCTGAAAGCATCTGACACCATAAGACTTTGGATCTCAATGTTTGATCAAAAAAGCAGAAGTTGAAACAACTATTCGGAATGGGCAGGGTTTGGATTAGAATTAGCCTGACCACACTGCAGCAAAGATTATTTTTTGGGGAGTGAAGAACATTGGCTGACATCAAGATCCACGGATTTCTGTCAACTGTCGCTCAAACAAATCCATGTTCATACCAAAAAATGGTGTATAGGTTTATAGGATCGGAAATATTGGCAGTTGGGGTTTCAGGTGATTTTAGTTCCAATGCAAACACACGCATCCTTTGTCAGTTGGTCTCGTTATTACAGGATTAAGCTCAGTTTTTAGTCAGCTGCACCAGCCGATTGGGCGGATGTGTTTTCCGCTGTGACTCATTTCATTCTACGGAGTCATATAGGGTTTCCCCGTTCATGGTGAGAATATCCCCAATATGGAGGTTTCCTGACATGGGGGTACCCCTAACCAGCTATTGGGGGATCCCCATGATGGAAACCCCCAGGATCTTGGTCTTGAAGCCTACTCAAGTGTATTTCCCTACTTGCTATCTCTTTGCAAATCATAGTGCAGCAATTCCTATATATATATGATATAGCTTCATATGTCTTCCTATATGTTATCATAATCCCCATTAAACAATATTAAACATGCTGTGTGTGAAATATCCCACTAATGTGGGTAAAACAAATTCATAAACCATCCCAAAATCAACTATGTTTATAGGCGGTATGTTTACCATTCCCAAATGGGTGGTTTATGACATTGTTTTGACCACACTACAATAATTCCGAAGTTGGACGTATAAACTCAAATATTTGGTTTGTTGGGACAATGAGGCTGCTGCTATCAAACATTTTCCCAGTGCAATGTGTGTTGTGCTTATCTGCTTATGTCGTACTCCCGCTTATTTGAGTTTTGCTACGCAGAAGTGTGTGACTCATGGACTATATCGACATCGTCACATGATGTACAGTATGGTCCTGGAAATTTAACTCTCACTGTGATGATGTTACTCTGAGATGCCACCCACTAACCAAATCCAAGACGGATGAACGACCAATTGAAGGACATGACCAAATTTCACCATTCACCATCTCAACAATTTCATCCACGCAAACTTTGCTGGTGAAACATCCATTCTTCTCATTAAAAACCCGGTGACATCTCCCAAATTATCCATGTGGAGGTTTCCTAACATAGGGTACCCCAAAATCATCCATTTTATTTTTGGATTTTCCATGAAATCAACCATCCATAAGTTGGGGTACCCCCATTTGAGGAAACCTCCAATATTATATATAGTTTCACTATACTAACTATATTAACCTATATCAACTATATATTATATGATTAACTATATTGGTTAATACATATATAAATAGTTTTATGTATTAACTACCCTATGGATCCAAGTTTGGGGGGTTGATTTAGGGGGTTAAGTACCTTCTCAGGAAGTGTTTGGATCCATAGGGCTATACATTTCAACAATAAATATTACAGAAACATATATGTATATTATATAGTTTCACTATATTAACATATATTAACTATATTTAACAATATTAACATATATTGAATATATATATATATATAAATATTTATATATTTACCCATGTCTTCAATGCTCAAACCCACCGTCCCTCCCGCCGTACCTCGTTCCGCTGCAGCCCATTGTGCCCTGCCCAGCCCAGCAGCGCGGTGCCGTGGTGCCAGCCGTGGCGGTGCCGCCGCAGCGCGTTGAGCTGGGAGGATGGTCGATTTCAGCAACAAAACTGGTACTTCATAAGAACTACAATGCCCAAATAATGTCACATTTAGAATTATCTATCTATATATATATACTGTATATATATATATATATGTACAAAATCATCATACCCCTATATATATATAAGTATATCTATGTGTATATAAGTATTATATATATATATTGAGTCTCCCGTTTTTTTTACAAAACCAACAATATGTATTACTTGAACTTTTGATTTGTCCAGAAATGGTCGATATTTACACCCCAGTCTATGCAACTTGGGGCCCCTGGTCATTAGGTCCCACTTGGTTTTGTAAGTCCAATTCCCAATGGATGTATGAAAACGAATCCGCTGTTGAATATGTAAAATTGAATTAACTTGCATGCAAAGATAGGATTTTCCTCCAGATTGCCCCATCAAACAATTCAAACATATTCAAACCGTTGGTAAATTAAATGGTCTTTGTCCCATCGTATTCTATCCCTATTGGAAGGTGTTACAACTCAGTCACTGACCATATAATTAAACAGGTAGCCAAACATTAAACTAGCAAGAACGGGTGTGTGAACAGCAAACAAAAGGGACATATCTGGCTCTTGGGGAACGTCTTCCCAAAAGGGACACATAGAATACGCAGAACGATGATCATACCCTACAAGAGGTTGTGTTTGTTTTTTTTGTAAAGGGTATCGTTCCACAGTAAACATACCCTCTGGTAAACATACACAAAACCATGGAAAACCACCATTTTTAACGGGTAAATCAGCTATTTCTATGGCCATTTTCCATAGCTACTTTGACATAACCAGAGGGTATCACAAGTACTCCGATCAAGGTCTGAGAGCCTTGGGGCCTTGGGTCACTGCCAAGATTTCCCGACCAACTTTCTACCATCAAAACCACGAGTAAAACAGGGCACAACCTGCACACCAATAGGGCCGAAATATATGGTGGTTTCCGAAAATAGTGGTACCCCCAAATCATCCATTTTAGTAATTAGGATTTCCTAGTATAAACAATCCATTTTGGGGTACCACCATTTTAGGAAACCTCCATATTTTCTTGTTGTTTTCTGAACATGGAGTACCCCAAAGTTTTCATGGTTGATCGTGTAAGAGGCATCCCGATTCACAAAAGCAAATGTTCATATCGTTGGTTGCAGATCGCACTGATTCATTGGGATACAGGCTCCTAGGTACTGGGAAGAACCGTTTGTCGGGGTCCAAAGAGCCAACTTGGTGGCTCATCCCACTTAGTAAGTGGGTTATAACCCCAGTTATAAATGGGTTAATCCATTTATAACTGGGGTTATAACCCACTTACTAAGTCGGATGAGCCACCAAGTGGGGTCCAAAGAGCCAAGGATTTCATACCCAACGTTTGAACAAGTCCAGTATTCCTGGCAGGGTAAACCTCCATTTTCCCCGGAGCCCAAGCTGCCCAGGCGGGGGAGCTTCGAAGCCGGGAGGCCGCAGCGTTGACCAATAAGATGTTGGGCTCGGGACCGTGTTTCCTGCGCCAGGGAATCAAACATGCTACATACCGTGTAGAATATATATAATATATTATATATGCTATATATAGATATTATGGTATTAATTACAATTACAATTACTATAATAATTATTAGTATTATTATTATTGTTGATATTGTTTTTGTTTGATATTTATGATTACATTATTTTGTGTTGTAAATTGTTATTATTATTATCATTATTATTGTATATTATATATATATGAAGGCTTCCAAAGTCATAGGGGTATCCTAATCCTAAATCATCCAAGTCATGGATGACCATGACTTAGTATTGATAGCCATGGTGACTTGGGGATCCCCCATTTTGTTTTAATAAAATAATGAAAAACAATTTCATAAATGATAACATGTTCCAGCTAGCCATGTTTTTGTTGCTAAAGGGTAAAGGGAAACCCTATAGGAGACCGTGTTTTTTTGATTCCAAATATCGTCTGTTTGAACCATGTTCGCCAACTTTTGCCGTGCGTCTGGGCAAACGTTACTCTAACTTAATCCCGGATGGGATTCATCAAATCAGGAAGGTGCAGTAAGCCAGTTCTCGCGGTGACGTCGTTGTTAGTTTCTACTCCTTACCGGGGATAGTTTAGCATATTATTGGGGTAGACGACAACAGGAAGGGGCCCTCAAAGATAGGTAAGTTGGTCTACAACTTTTAGTGGGGTTTATGATGGATAGTACATCGAAAGATAGATGGGGTTAATCAAATAACATTGCGACTGGAATGCCGTTACTTCAAAGAGGTAGATCATCGACAGCGCCAGGTCGAATGGTTTTCAATGACTTCAACTTCAACTGTTCAATAACTTTTAGGCCAGCCATCATCTAGAATCTACCCAGAACGGCAATTATGACAATGGAAATTCAATTGCGGGATCGCTCACCACCGATCAGTTTGTGGAGGCTTCCCGAAGGGCGACCAATCCACTATCACTATAAATCATGGGAGCCTATGCTGCTGATAATGGGGCATAAATATAAACACATGCTGTGAGACCAGCAGCCCCCATGATATCGGTAGTAAAGTCCACATATTTGCTCGTTGATTTGCTTTTTTTTGCTGGGAAAATGAACTGAATTCCCAATTTTCTGCTGGCAAACTGCCTGCCTTTGCTGATGTTTAAACCCAGTCAGTCAACCTATAAAGCCAACTTGCACATCAAAATCAACCAGAACACCATAAATCAACCATATCAAATCAACCATAAGTGAACTTACGTATAGTGTCTTATACCCTCTGGTAATTTAACATAGATATTGAAAATGGCCCATAGAAATAGTTGATTTACCGAACTTAAAGATTTTTCCAGTTCCCAAACTCTAACAGTTTTTTTTGCCATGCATCCCGTGCCGAGGTCATCAGCACTAAAGAGAGATGCTTGGGCGCTTGGCTTTTGCGCCGCGCTCAAAATGGCAACATTTTGGGTAGGGTCTCCATCATATTCAGCGTGGCTGAATCTGCAATGTATGTCTTCATTCAATCTATACACCCAATTTTCTCGTGGTCGATCAATTCTACGTTTTCCGATACCAGAGGGTAATATCCATTCATATCCATTAAAATATCCCCATAGTTACCCTCTGGTAATTTAATATAGCTATGGAAAATCACCATTTTTATGGGAAAATCCACTAGTTCAATGGCCATTTTCAATAGCTTTTTGTATGTTTACCAGAGGGTACATGTTAAAATCAACAATAACTTCACCACACCCATCGACTCGGGCGGAGCGGAGCGCGCGGGTTTCGCCTTGCGATCCAAAAATGCCGCAAGGCTTTCTGCCACTCCTTGGATGTCCAGTGCTGGGGAAAAGCCTGGACCCTGGCCATGTTGCTTTATAAATCCCACTACAGTGTGGGGCCCCCGAACGATAGCTAAGTTGGTTTATAACTCCAATAACTATGGTTTATAGGTGATATATCCATAGTTAGCGGGATTATAAACCAATTTATAACATTTTATAACTGGGGGGGCACCACCTTGTAACTATATAGTTATTACATGTGATATTGTTCTATTATATGTTATTATCTGCTCCTAATCAAAGCTATTTAAGCAATTGATTAATCAACATAGCTATCGTTTGGGGGTTCCAATATTGTATAATCATGGTGGAACTGTAGCCCCAAGTCAAAATAATATGTTTTTATGATTTTGGGAAAATTATGGAAAGTGTGAACCATCGAACCTTAAGATTTCAATGATGAACCAAGAACCAAATAACGTCAGCATACCAACTCGCCAACCTGAAATATTCAGATGACTTTGGTGGAAGTTCCCTTTCTGGCCATCATGCTGATGTACGGAGCCAGCAGTCAGCATATGTTCCATCCATCCAGGTGGTTTAGAGATTTGCCCTACCATTTTCTTCGTGAAACCATGGGTTTTCATCAAGATTGTCATTGTTGCTAGTTAAAACCCCCATTTTTGCTGGTTGATCATAGTTAATCCCTCACTTTTTGATGATGAGATCTGTACCCAACATGGATCGAACACCGACGAATAAGCCCGGTTCCGCGCTCGAATTTTGGTCCAGTTTCATGTCCCTTTCCCTCGGCCGCCACCAGTGCACCGCAACTCTGGGTGCTGGCCTTTTTGGTGATGCCCGAAACGGGGAGGAAATTGGTGAGTGATGCGGCCACAGTTCGTTAGCTAAGTTGGTGAACATAACTATAATAATAACAATAGTCTATGATACTTATAACTATATTTAGATGGGGTCATAAACCAACTTATAACTGGGGGGGCCCATCCTGTAGTATTTTATTGGATTTCATTGGGTTTGAAAGTGAATATAGAAAACTGAAATGAACCCAACAATTGGAAGCCGTAGATGGCATCAACCACCTACAATTCAATGGATTTATTTCAGGGAAATCTTCACAGGAAACTGGCCGGTGTTTACGGCAAATATGAAACCCCCCTTCATCCAATTCTTGGAAACTTTTCAACATGATCAAACATATAGATTTGAACCTAGTTATTTACCTATCTAGTCACCTGCTATTTATCTATTGGAAGAAAATGAAACATACGCAAGTTATATGTATTTGTAAATATATATATATATATACATATGTATTATGTATGTATGGGTTTCTGCTGACGCTGGAGGAATTTGAAAAAATATTAGCTATGATTAAACAGGTGCGATGAGACCCGGTGCTCTGGGTCAAAGCCTTCAAAACAGGGCTCATTTGAGTTCCAGGCAGCGGCCAAACAATACGGTAGATCAGTAACATCTATGTTATTCATGTATATATATATATATTATGTGTAAATATATGACAATGTATAATAGATTCATTTGAAGATAGTAATTGATAATACATATATATGTATATTTAAATCATGACATTAACTATGCTTATACCTAGATGGCGGTGGTATAAACCCTATATATACCTGGAGCATCCTGGTGCTCAAAATTTTGATCCGAGATCAGAATACATCATAAAAAGATCCGTGGTCCTGAAAAAGGTCGATCACTAAAAAAAAGATCCGTGACAGGGATATGTTTCCATGATCATTTGGGAACCAACAGTGTTGACGCGTGATGCGGTTGAAGCTGGCATCATCGTGCTCAAATGATGGTTTTTCACAGGCTTATCCATCTAGATTCAGGAATCATCCATGAACAAAGATGAGAAAATGGTTTATAACCTAACCGGTCAATTTGGTTTCGAACCATGGAAGGCTATTTGGCACCAATCAATAACCCTGCATAATCCTTAGTTAACACCCACCGCCTGTCTCATCGCTGCTGCCACCTTGATGTTTTTCAAGCCGGTCGGGGCACTAAGCCGGAGCAGGGAGCAAAGCGGACATCCAAGAAATAACTCCAGGAATCAAATGACAAAATTGTTTCTTACTCACTTCTTGGGATGTCGTTTTTTCAGTTTCGTTTTGTAAACTGATTTAATTTCTTTGTACCTTCCGTACACTGCCTTGCACTTAATTAAGTAAAGGTCCAGCGTCCTTCTTGCAGGAATTTGCGGCGACACACGCCAGGATAAGCGTGATAGTTTTCCTACCACGTCCTCACACATGTCACAGCTCCAGATAGCTGGATTCAAAATCCAAATGGTATCTGGATCCGTGAGCTGGCAGTACAACTCATACTTCGTATGCGTCAGCATGTGCAATTTGGCCTTCATTGCAAAACCTGGAACTCTGAAGCTATACAAGCACACGTGCGCCAACTTGTTGTACGCTTGGATGAAATCATGGAAATATTCGTAAAGCACGGCCCCACAAGTCTTTGTAAGACAAAGGCCATGGCCATAGACAATGCGCTCCCACCCCTGCACCCAGGTGGCTGCTTTGATGATGGTCTCCAAAGCTGCTTTTTGCCGCTCGTCTTGAGTTTCACAAAGACACGCATGTGCCAGAACCTTGATCCAACCAATCACAATTGTAGTATCTGATGCCTTTGTGTTAACCCAGGCATGGTGCCAACTACGGGTAGCATTGAAGAATATTGGGGTGAATGAGTGCAGAGCTGGATAATGAGAAGTCGTCTTGCAGTACCATAAAAAATGGTCATGGGCCCTCTCAAGCAAGGCATCTCGACTGTTGCTCACTTCACCTCGTGGCCCATTGAAAAATCCAAAGTGCAGGATAAGCATGATAGAGCTGCCGCAAAAATCTCTGAGGACACCAACTTTGGTATTGTGGAAAAGATCTCTCTTGATCATCTTTTCCGGGGTCGCAGAGTTGAACGGAATTCCACAAATTGCTGGTGGGTTTGATTCTCTCCAAGGCCTTTCTGGAAACAGATGGTGGCCCCAGAGTGGCTGATGGCGAAAGTCTTCCCATGGGACCGATTGGGATCCAGCGGCACATTCATGACACATGCACTTGGCATTCCCCAATTGCTTATTGAAGCAACGTTCCAAATTGCAAATTTTTCCATACCAACGTAAATCACTTTTGAGGCCCACAATGGCAAGAAACCATCTTTGTGAGTTGACCACAACACCATTGGTAAACAGTTCTTTGAATGCTAAACAAAGCTCTCCCATGAAAGCATCCAGTACACCAGTGCTCTTGTAGTACTTGTTGGGGAGAACTCCCAAGACAAATTTTGTCAGGAAGCTATTGTGCTTGAGATTGGTGACCTGGTTTGCACAAAGAGGCGTATCTCCAACAGTCTGATGTGTGGGTCCATGTGCCAGCTTAAACCGTTTCCTTCCTTTGTCAGAGACTTTGCAACCAGAACATCTTGTCGCATCCCATTGGCTGTCCATGTTTGGTAAGCCTAGACAAGTCTCCATGCTGATGACACAGGTGTTCCCCTTTTTTGCTCCACGACCTTCATCACCATGCAACGCAAAAACCAGTGTGTTGGACGGTTTCCTTTCCTGGTGGCCCTCCTGAAAGAAAGCATGTGCAGGGTCAATGGCTTTGTAGCAGGTCCAAAATTGTTCCAAGTTCTGCCTGCCCTGATCTGTATCCGTGCAGCCACCCATCAGAAGCTCTGGGGCTTTCTCAAGTAAAAACTTTGTGAAATCAAGCGGGCTCAAATATGGAAATTCAAAGGTTCCACCAGATTCGACCAACTTGAATTGGGTGAATGGGATTTTCCATGACAACCCCCATCTCTTGATGAAACGGTGGGCATCCCGGCAGTCATTACCGCGGGATGCAGAAACTTTGCAGGATTCACCGACCTCTTTTCTGGCTTCGGCACGGTATTTCCGAAGAGATGCTGCTGGGACCTCAGAAAACCAGTTTCGAGTGATGGGAGTGGGGACAAGCCAGGAATTGTCTATTGTGGTCAGGTTTGAAGTTGCCATTGAGCACCCAACCCCATCAGCCAACACTTCCGCATAGCTCAAAGAAACATCACCAGGTTGATGCTCCAAAGGACCTGGCAATAATAGAAGGGGCCGCCCAACTGAAAGACTGTTTGTCATGTAGCTGCATGTTCTCAAGATAGTCTTGCGAAGCTGTATCATCACACTGGCAGCAGGCAAAAGCTGACAATTTTCCAGATGCCCAAAGGACACTCACAGCAAGTTAGCTTCTCTAATGGTCCAACTTCTAATCCAGTGAATTGCCAATACGTGTTCATCACGCATTGGCTACAGGGCCATGTCAGCAAGACGCTGGGAAGCACAAGTGCAAAGCAAAAAACCAAACATTCTTAACTATGACATGGCAGTTACATATTGTACTATATTAAAAGTAACTACTAGGAAAGCAACGGAAAGTACAAAGCGCCCAGGTCATGGCCTAAACCCCACATAGCCCACAGCCATGTTGAATGCGCGCTTTGAAGAAAGCGTCGGCATGAGAGTTGAAAAACATCCTTTTCAGCTAGTGATCCTACTGCTTAGCTTTAGACTTCGCCTTGACCTTCACCTTCGCCTTTGCGGCGGTTGCCTTCGCCTTTGCCTTCGCCTTTGCTTTGGCATCAGCTCGTGGGATAAACGGCCTGGCAAGGTCTGATGATTCCATGTGGATTGATGAAGATCTTGAGCTCAGTGGGCCAGATCCCCAGCCTCGAACGGTGCTCCAGGGACAAGGAGTCAGCAGCCCTGAGAGCAAGCAATGGGAAAGATTGATGTCTAAGCGCTTGAAGTTTATAGTAGGAAAGAAAGAGATTTCCAAAGTTGGATAGAATGTCTTTTCTGAGGGCTGGTCTTTGCCCCAGCTTGATCGATCAAGTCTCGCAACCGGTCTTCCGCCCTCAGGACGGAACGCAAAGAATGTGTCAGGTCATTTGTGCTGTCTTAAAGAAAGGCCATGGGTGTACAAGCAACATTTCTCCAAGGGACACTTTTGGATACCCTTTGATCACCCCCGTGGAGTACTCATCGGAAATCTCTTTGTGAATCCCTTCCAAGGAATCCCCGATGTCGGAGATCGCTGTTTGGAGCCTCAGTGTGGAGGTCAATACTGAGTTGGGAAAAAACAATTACTTTACTTCGTTTGATCCCCACCATGACATTTATAGATTTTCTTACTGGCAAATCTTCTGGCATTCTATCTGGCATTCTATCTGGCATATCTTCTGGCATATTATCTAGCAAATCTTCTGGCATTCTATCTGGCATTTCTTCTGGCATATGTTCTGGCATATCTTCTAGCATATCTTCTGGCATTCTATCTGGCAAATCTTCTGGCATTCTATCTGGCATATCTTCTGGCATTCTATCTGACATATCTTCTGGCATTCTATCTGGCATTTCTGGCATTCTATCTGGCATATCTTCTGGCACATTTTCTGGCATATATTCTGACATATCTTCTGACATTCTATCTGGCATTCTATCTGGCATATCTTCTGGCATATCTTCTGGCGTTCTATCTGGCATTCTATCTGGCATATCTTCTGGCATATGTTCTGGCACATCTTCTGCCACATCTTTTGGCATTCTATCTGGCATTCTATTTGGCATATCTTCTGGCATAATTATTATCTGGCAAATCTTCTGGCATTCTATCTGGCATATCTTCTGGCATTCTATCTGACATATCTTCTGGCATTCTATCTGGCATTTCTGGCATTCTATCTGGTATATCTTCTAGCATTCTATCTGGCATATCTTATGGCATTTTATCTGGCATATCTTCTGGCATTCTATCTGACATTCTATCTGGCATATCTTCTGGCATTCTATCTGGCCGTTGAGGTCCAGCGGTGCACACTGAGCTGGGCAGGTCCCAGGTTGAGATCCAGCGGTGCACACTGAGCTGGGAAGGTCCCAGGTTGAGGTCCAGCGGTGCATGCTGAGCTGGGCAGGTCCCAGGTTGAGGTCCAGCGGTGCACACTGATGCACACTAAACTTAGAAGGTCCCAGGTTGAGGTCCAGCAGTGCACACTGGAGAAACTGGAGGAGGAGGCGGAGGAGGAGGAGGCGGAGGCGGAGGCGGAGGAGGAGGAGGACGAGGAGGAGGAGGAGGACAACAGCTCTGATAAAATCTAACAACCCTCACCTGGCAGGTGGTGAAAAAAGGTTTCGGACATCCATTAGATACTTTCAAGAAACCGTTTCTGCATCTCCGTCAAATCATCACCTTGAAACTTGCCTTTGAGCTCTTCGACCTTCTTGATACGCTTGGCGATAGCTGTCCTTGGAGAAAGAATGTGAATGATTTTGAATACCGAATTAGATTTGTAACTTGTAACAAGGTTCTTTGAGAGCCATATCTTTTCCAATTGCTATCTTTACATCATCCTCCTGCAGCTAAAGGTCAAGTAAGTCGTCACTTGGGCACTGGGCAGTGCATCAGGGTCAACTTCCGGAATCCCAAGTGACTTACGTTTTTTTGCGGCGGCATCTTTCTGGTCCATATCATGAAGAAGTTGTTCAGCATCATCACCTGCCACAATTGGAGAACATTCTTAGCTGCGCTTTTGGGACCATGTTTTAATTATTTTGGTGGTTTAATTGGTCTGCAGTATCAGGGGTGGGGTGAACCATGTGAACCACGTAGTTTCGTGTTGTACATGTTCGAAAATGAACACGTTGCACAGGCTTTGGGGTAACACATGAGTTGGTCATGGATGTGCGCCAGGGCCCACCTCCCCCAGTGGGGGAATCCTTGGGAGCAGACCCTGCATTGGGTCCAGGCCCAAAATCTTCAAATCCATCATCCATTCCATTCATCCCAGTTTCTTCCCAACGAACCCGTTTGTTCATTCGAAGCCGGGATGTTCGCCTAGGTATGCGACACAAGTAGGCGAATGCCAAAATGATTGGAATCTAGGAAGCCCATTTTTGACAAGCCCATTGAATGAGAGTATATCTGGTGCCAGGGTGCTTCTCTGTCCCTTTGATGCACCGTTCCACGTAAAATAACAAGGTCTTCTCGTACAGGTCTTTCCTGCAATCAAGTTGGCTACCCCCGGCATTGGCTGAGGAATGGAAGAGATTTGACAGGATTGAGGTCGATAACATGCCCGGTGCCTCAGAAGCTTGGTCGGGTTGGTCTTGCAATGGGCTTTGACTGCTGCAATCCGCTGCCTAAGCTGATGCTGACTAAGAATCAAAAAAACACATGTCTATATCATAGCAGACCTATACATGTAAGAGGGATTATATACTAGTTGTTTCACCAAAGTACTCAGAGAATCCCCACTCTGCCATTTGAGCTTCAGTGGCAAATTCCCCTTCCACAACCACCTCTGTTTCCCTCATCTCCTCGCGTAGCACTTCAACTTCGGCAATGAACGTCTCCTTGCCACACGCAGGTTTTTGGGTATTGTTGGTTCTATTTATAATTCAACCATGTTCCAGCATCCATCAAAAACCGTGATAGGGATAGACAAGATTCTGGAGAGTAGCCACATTGGCGGAATATTTGCTCCAAAAGCTTCTTTTCCTTTCCCTTCCCCTTCCACTCACGGTATATCACCTCACTGACCTTCAACGTTCCATCTACCCTGGGGGTAAATATGCGGGCGGCCCGCTGTCGGATGGCAGCTGGAGACAAGTCATGTTCACCAACCTTCGGAGCTGGGGCTTTTTGATCACCAACCAAAAAGATACCATCGAACGGCTCAGGGGCTTCAAAGGGGTGGCCATAAAATCCACTGGCATGGCCTGTGTTGGCCTCTGGGCCTTTTTCCACAGTCTTGGCAACGGCATTTTCTTTGGCCACAACCCCTTTGCCATCAGTTTGCCCCACAGATGTGATGGGAGGTGTATCAACATCGGATGCCTCTTTGATGGAAGGTGTGTCAACATCGGATTCCTCTTTTGTAGCTATCAGGGAACCAGAGGTCTGTCCCCATGCTAAGGGCTGCGCAGGGATGTCCATGCCTATGATTTCAAGATCAGAATCTGAAGATCCATCCAAATCATCATCATCAAAGGAGTCATAGTTGGGCTTAGTGACGACTGGAGGTCCCCCATCAGCCCCTTGATCCCCACCAGCTTCAGGTCTGGCAAGTGGAGCAGGCCCTGGTGTTTCAGAGCGAGCCGGCGTGGAGACTGGCCGGGTGGTGTCAGTTCCGTTTTCTTCAAGCCACTTCTTCAATTCCTAGGCTAGGAAGTGATCAGTGGACAATTCAGGCATTTCATCATTTGGGATGTCCCCTACCCTACAGTCTTATCATGTTGGATTCCTGAGATTTCAATTGAAACAGAAAAGATGTTGAATCATAAGCTGGGGAAAATATTCACTGTAACAACACAAGAAGAACAAAGTAAAACTTGGTTTGGGCAAAGACCTAGATACCTGCAGTTCCTGTTGCATTTCTTCCGGCATAGGCTCGTTTGTCATTTGGTTTGACCGACTTGAGACTGTCTGAAACGCACCATCCAAACTTGAGTTCGACCAAGCTTGGCTTTGCATCGGTTTCATGGCTGACCCACCTACTGACCACTATACTATGGAATCTCAGGCCAAATGGCTATCATAATCAAAGATTGGTTCAAGTTACAAGCTACTTCACAATGTGCAATTGAATGCAGGCCACAATTCACAAAGCATGACTGAATGCGGAACACATATCTGTCAGTTTTCAGCCCAACGATTTCTGGGATGGATGACGGGAAACCATGTGGCAAAAGTCTTGCATCGCAAGACGGCCACAAGTTCTAGCAATAGAAAGCCCTGGTGGATAATAGGCCCCTTCGGTCCCAGCACCAAGCCATGATTGAATTTCTCCTATGAATTAGATACAAATATATCTGTAGTGAAATGTTTGCAGATGTCGGCTTCAGTCTGGGTTTGTTTGGTGAATCTGTATGGTTTGGAAAGGTCCCTCACCAAAACAGGAATCTTAAACTTGAGATAGGCCAAGTTGCATCTTGTGAAAAATGGTATAAAAAAGATGTACGGGTAAAAACGCCCGTGGATTGGGAAAAAACGCCCGTTGATTGGGTAAAAACGCCCGGGGCTATTTTGAGATTTTTTGTTTATACCCAGTAACACCCAAACTTTCTCACAAAGCCGACGGAATCACTGGCCGAAACTGAGGAGGGATATGGATATCCCGGCACCCGCGCAGGTAGTGCAATGTGGGCTCAAGCTCCGCTTCCTCCCAGGTGCTCCACGGGTACTGCTGGAAAAGAGTTGGCAAAGGCGTTTCCAAATCTACCTTGGGCAACGCCATGACATCTACTGGGTAATAGTTCCACAAAATTTCACCAGCTAGGGAATCTTAGTGCCAAACTAGGAATTGCCATTTAAAGTTTAAGACTGAGCCGCTTCATGGTTCCACATAGATTCCTCACTCTGAATGGCTGGCAGCAAGCTGACAATCGATCTCGCAAAAGCAGGTGGGTAGACCCTTAGTTACCAGCTGCAGGTTCCAATCCCAGGACATGAAGAAACCCACATCTTATCCCTTTTCAGGAACAGAAATCAAAATCAAAACAATGAAAACTGCTTGTGCTACTACAGCAAGAGTACTGTGTGGAACGGAGCTGCGGTGTTCCTTTGTATCTGGTTTTGCCCGATGCGTCTACGTATTTGACACAAGTTTTGATGACCTTTTTTGATCCCCCTTTGAGCTTCTTATCATGCAGCCGTTCAATCACCTTTGTATTTCCCAGCAGTTTTGTTGGTTTTGGGCATGGGCCCCCGAAGTTTTGCATCCACAGGCTGCAGCACCAGACCTGGGATGATGGAGCATGGGTGTATTTCAAGACTGGTGCATGGGAGATTTACCAAAACCACCCTTCTCTATAACAAGTCTATAACATTGAACATGTTTTAGTTTTTCCCTTTGGTCAAACCCTACCTTCACTCCAACAGCCTTGAGCATCCTGAAGGTTTGTCTCATCCGGTGAAATAGAACCATCAAAGAACTCGATGGCTGCTCAAGAAGAAACACCGAGTCCATACAAACAATAAGCAGGATCAGCAAACAAGTCCTGGCAAGATTGAACACCAGATCAAAACCAATGGATGGAAAGCTGTCCCAGGTAAACATAAAAAACTCTATGTTCTTTGAACAATGTTTGTCGTCCCAATCCTTGACACTTGCTTGTTAGCACGCCTCACTGATGTGTAACATGCCAACCCTGATGGAGTCAGTAAACTTCTGCGTGATGTCCCCGCATTGACACTCACCCATGTACTGCATACCGTTGCAAGCATCATGAGCAATTTGCTGACTTTGCCTTGCAACGCCAGGATCACCATTAACCTGGGCGTCGGGGGTTTGTCCAGGCAAAGGGTGCATTGGATGTGAGGGATCCATTGAAAACGATAAAATGAAAATGAACCAATCTAAGATTGGAAACGCGAATCCAACTTCTCCATTGGAATCGAATCTGGATCTCTTTGGGCGCCCTGACTTTTTCTGGGATTCCGATTGTTTCTCTGGCTGGTGGTGCTTTATGTCACAGCAAGCTGATTTGAACCCTGCTTTGGTCGCAAGCTGGCCAATTCGACCAACCCCACAAAAGTAATCTAGGAGGTCCCAATCTTCCTCACGTTGGCCCAGGCTCGTCCAACTGCAAAAGAGTACCAGGAGGATAAAATCCTTGGATCAAACGTAAATATAGGGAACTAAATATATCATTATACAATCATAACTACTATTTATATATAGTTATATTACATATATTAATATAGAATATAAAATGTATATATTTTATTATTATTACTAGTATTATTATTATTAATATATTGTGTATTGTATATATTATACATTATATATATATATAAAGATTATATATTATATATATATTGGGCTCTAAGTGGGTAAAGCATAAGCTGATCATGTCAATCTCTTGTTTGTTTCAGAAAGAAAGTCACCAGCAACACGCTACATGTTCTTGTTTCTTGCCAAAATTCCTTGGGGGCTTTCATTGCCATTAACCGACGAGCGATCAAATCAATTTTTTGGTCAAACCCCATGGCGGCACTGAAGGCTCTACCAGCAAATCCTTTTGACACTAAATGCAAGTGGATGAATCAATGAAGCTGAGTGCAATACCACCTGCTCATTGTTCATGATTTGAACCCGTATGATCAGTGACTAGTCTTTCGGGGTTAAAACATGCAGGCAAGACCGTCAAGACCATTCGAGAAGAAGCCCCTGGCAGCCAACCAGCTTTGCCCGGTCCTCAAGGACATGGGTACCTGCAGCGGGAAAGATTCAACTCTTGAAAGGGATGGCCCAAAGTGGGCCGAGGGTCTTCAAGCAAAACTGAAAAGGAATTGGTCCAACTTTTCTCTCTTGCTGCTGGAACACGATAAGATCGATCCATCACTGGGCAAAATGGGCCACGTATGAAAGCTGGCAAAAATATTTGAGCAGTAGTTTTCAGCACAACTTCCTCATAATCAAAGCTATAGCACTGGGTATGAACAGGCCTTTTTTAAAATCTAGTGATCCATCACCAGCTTCCACCCTAGCGCTGCCCTTGCCCATGTGCACACTCTAACTCTAGCCATGTATATCGAAATGTCTAGATACCCAAACTGCATTGCTTCGGAAGAAGTCAATGCAAAGACCCCGGCGCAGCACCATCACTGCAATCACTCCACATCAATTTTCTACAAGGTGGCTACCTTAGGAGCAAGGGATAGGGGAAATTTGTCAGACAAATGTGTAATACTAGCCACCTAGGAAATTTCTATCTTTTAGGGACCAGGTCTGTGTTTGAAAAAACCAAAACCTTGGTTTAATAGAAACATGTTCTGAATTTGTCCAGTCTACGGATCTCATCGCTGCTCAAGAACAAGGTCGCTTGATGTTCAACAATCTTCCGGTACTCCTCTAAGGAATCGGACTTGTTCTTGGCAATGCTGCTGAAGGCGAATTTCCACCAGCTATGCTGCAGGGGTTCCAAGAATTTGGGAACGACTCAGGTGGTGACGGATGTAGAATACTTAAGCAAAAGGGGTTCAAACAGATCTACATTTTTTCAATTACATATATATATATAGTGCTTATCATCAACAAGTTTTGTCCTTGAAGATCATGTGTTGAAAAGATTTCACAAGGCTACCACTAGTGCCAGCCTGGGTGTAGGTAGTGGCACAGATGCGAGGCTCAATCTTGGCACGGTAGGTCGAAACCATAGCCACAAAGCGGTTTTTGGCCACGGACTGGGTGGGGCAAAATCTGCCAGCAAATGTGGAGCGGCCACCAAGAAGATCACCAGCATCTTGATCTGGGGTCGTCTTGATCTTGCTGTCACCCTCATCCTCGGGTTCACCACCTTCCATGTTGGCTCCACTGGGCTCATTCTCAGTCTCAGCAGCCTTTTTGTCAGCAAGAGTTGTTTTTTTGGTTGGCTTGGCCACCTTTTTGGGTCCAGCTGGCTCTGACTGTGTCTTGCGACGCTTGGGTTTCACCCCATCCTTGGGATCTTTGACAGCATGTTCACTTCCACCAGTCTCAACCTTGGCAAACTCTGGGTCAAGTCTGCGGGTGCAAGAATCACCTTCTGCAGCTGGGCACTTGTGTCCTCTGCCTCTGCCCCTCCCCTCACCTCTTCCACGACCACGTCCACGACCGCGACCACGGGCATTTGTGTTCTCCTTTTCCTTCTCCTCCGGGTCCTTGGCATGCAACGCACCCTGCCAAGCATCTTGAGCTTTCCGGGTCACAGGGGGCACCTCTTGCCCATCTGAGCTGGGTGACTCCTCATTCACATCTTTCTCATCTTTCTCATCTATGTCAGGCTGAGAAGGTGGAATCTCAGGCGTAGTAGGATCAACCACGGGCATCTGGGTCTCAGGCTGAGCACATGTCTTGGTCTCAGGCTGAGAAGGTGGAATTTCAGCCCGAATAGGCTCAACATCACCAGTAGGGGTCCCAGTCTCGTTGTTCTCTCCCAAAACCAAAGTCTTTG